AGAGAGAGGAACAGCTGAAGCAGTTTGATTTTGGAACGTGGAGTGGGCCCGTTTATTTGCAGCCCGTTCGCCAGCTTCAGGGGCGGAAGGGGTCGGAGGTTTGGGCGAAGTCGCACAAGGCCGCGTTTTCGGCACTTGCGGCGAATGTGCATTGGTTCCAGCACAGAGTGTTTGAACGCAGTCCAGAGGCCACCAGTGAATGCCAGCCAGCTGTGCAGAGATGGTCGTGCCACTTGTTACCATCGTCGCTTCAGCTGCATTGCGTTCGAACCGTGGCGCCGTGAGAACCTGGATCCCTTGGTGGCCAGGGCTGCTCGTGCGGTTGGCCATCTTCCGGCTCCAGCTGGAGAGCTCTCCAGTAGATGTTTGTTCCCCAGCCCTGCGGCCTGGGTGGAGCGACCCCCTCGCGACCCGCTGAACCCGTGCACGCGTCACTTCCAGTGGCCTCAGGACGGCCCCTCGTTCATTCCCGAGGGGGCGCACGCTTTCGCGGACGGATCGGGATTTGAGGGGAAGCTCATTGGCCTAGGGACCGCGGGGTGGGCAGCTGTGGTGTTCGACAGCCATGGCAGTACCTTGGCTGCCTTGTTCGGCGTTGTGCCGTTCGGGGGAGCGCCTGGACAGCAGGCGCGAGACGGTGAAGATTTGGCGGTGCTGATGCTCTCTCGTCGCTCGGTCCTCTCCTCAAATGTCTCGCTCTATGTGGGCTGCGCTGCCACAGTCGGGCGCCTCGAGTTCGAACTCGGCGCGGGCCCTCTGGTGGGCTGAGATTGGGGACCGTTTAGAGGGAATTTGTGTTCATAAGATCCCCTCCCAAACCTCGTTGGTGGATGTGCGCGGGGGTACAATCACGGAAATGCAGCACTTTGGGAACTCGGAAGCGGACAGGCTCGCCAAGGAGGAGGCTGAGCCATTCCGCATTGCGGCGGCTGACAGACAGCTGCTCACTGGCTATGCTGAGCTTGTGCGACGAATGGGTGTGCACTGCGCTAGCCAGCAGGCTGAGTGCAGAGAAGTGTGTTTAAGCGATCACGTGAGGTTGGAATGGCTAAGCTACGTCCTGCTCGACGCTATCCCTGGGTTGCCCCTTCCTGGGGCCCCCTCGGAGGCGCCTGGTGGTCCAGGGGCCTCTGGGCGGGGGTGCGGGCCTCAGGAGGTCCAAAGGGGCCCTGCCAGCGAGCAGCCTCCTGAGATCCCCCCTCCTCCGACCCCTGGAGCGTGGATCCAACATGGGCACACTCTGGAGCAGGGTGATGTTGATGAGTCGGATAGAAACACGTTTCACGATTCGCTACTGTGCTGCACCTCCTGCGGTGCTGTTGCCCACACCAGCACGAAGAGAAGTAACGTTCGTTCGGTTTGTCGACCGTCGTCGTCGTCAGGTCGCTCGTTTTATCTGGACAAGTTTCGTGCTGGTCAGTACCCAGGCCATCGGAATCCGAAGGGTTTCACGCTGGCTTATATTGGGGCCCCGACCCAAGAGGTTCGGCTAGAATGGACCCCCTTTTTCGCGGCCTGGAGCAGAGGCCTCCAGGGGCCCCCAAGACCGTCTCGGGGTGCCCAGCCTACTCGCCGCGAGGGGCCAGCGGCCGACCTTCAGCGAGGTCTGGGGCTCGTCGGCCTCACGCGCTCGGAGCTCGAGAAGCTCGGAGCGGAGATCGAGGACAGGCGGCGACGGGGCGCGGGCCTTGAGGAGGAGGACCCCGCCTTCCCCGTCTAGCTCGTTTGTTTTTCTATGCATGTTTCTGTGACTTGGGTCACTCCCTTCGTGGTCGTGCGCTCCTCCTCCTCCTCCTCCTCCTCCTCCTCCTCCTCCTCCTCCTCCTCCTCCTCCTCCTCCTCCTCCTCCTCCTCCTCCCCTACTGGGGATACCGACCCTCTTTCGCCGCGGTGCCCGCCACCCCCGACGGGGAGGCGTCGAGGCTACGCGCGCGGCCCCCCGGTGCCGGCAGCGAGGGCTCGGCGGAGAGGCGTCTCGAGCCTCAGCCGGTGGCCCCGCGATCCCGTCGGCGCAAGCAAGTGGCCAACGCGCGCGGCGATGTCATCGTTCGTCGTCGTCGTCGTCGTCATCGTCGTCGTCGTCGTCGTCGTCGTCGTCGTCGTCTCCTCCTCCGCCAGGCGCGGGGGAGGAGACAACCACGACGACGTCTCAGAAGGCGGCGGGGGAAGCGAGAAAGAGAAGTCTCAGAAGGCGGCAGGGCTTCTCAGAGGCCCTCGCGCCTTCTGGAGAGGTTTTTGTGTCTTCGGGGAGGGCTTACAGAACTGTTCAGAAGGCCAGGGGACTTCCGAGCCTTCTGGGAAGGCCCACCCCTTCTCACTTCCCTCCCCCGCTCGCCGACGAAACATGCGCCCGCAGGGGCGACATGGCAATGAAGGTTTTCAATTCAATGCGAGCGCACGACGTAGCACATCGTACTTCATGGTGGCGTATAGTACGCGAGCGAGGGCGGACTTGGAAGCGACTCCGCTGTCACGTACTCGCGATGCCGAGGTGGGCCACGTCAGCAGGGACCGTGCGGATTACATCACGAGCTAGACAAGGCACGAGAGCTATGGCGACACCGAGTATCCAGATGAACATCGGGCGAAGTGTTGACTTACAGGACGTGCCCCTGAGCATTCCAGGTATTCGCGTTCACGGTACGAGGTGTATCTTAGATCGGGGCAATGTCTATTGGCTTGACATCATCACTAACAGCAGTGCGGCAAGGGCCGATCAAGTTACCCGACAGCGAACACTTACGAACAATTGGGCAAACAACTGTTACAACGTGCCATGACCCAGGCCGCCAGCGGGGTACACATTCAAAGGTGCACACCTCACCACGTCATCCTGCGACGGCCGCAGGACATGGCCGCGGCAGGCGCGCGAGTGTCGACCCCACGTCCAGTGCAGCGCGAGGCGCGTACTGCAGGACGAAGGCACGGATCTCGGCCTGGTCGAGACCTCATTTCTTGCGCGCGACGCGCTGGACGCGACTACATTGATGACCGATCAAGCCCCGGCATGACACAACGTGCTAAGCTGCGATGCCGCATGCATGCCATGACGTTCAAAGTCAAAGTCGACCTCGACATGGCACAGCCTGCTGAAAGTGATTTGTGAACAATGGCCAAGGATTGACCGATCGCGTTTCCGATTCCGATCTGCGCGTCGGGAGTCGATCAACACGCAACGCACACGACTTAAGCAAGGGCTGAACGAGGTCGATCAGGTGGGCTGGCGCTTTCTGCCCAGATTCCCAGCGGAGTGCTTGCATGCATGGGGTTCTCCTCTAGGTTGCTCAAGGCCGTCTGCTGGGTGTGCCTGTTTTCGTGCTGCCGTGGGCCCTCCTGAGTGGCCCTCGCCGGAGTGGCCCTCCTTTTGTCCTGACTCGTCCCCCCGGAGTGGCCCTCGTCCTTTCTCTCCCCCGCGGCCGCCCGCTCTGTCCCGTGCTTCCCCTCTTGCGTGCCGGCCAGCTCACTACCGGGGGTGCCCCCGCTCGGGCGGTTCCTTCCGCCAGCGCGGACGGCCCCCTTGCCCAGCCGCCGACGCGAGACGAGCGTTGTGCTGCTGCCTCGGCGGTGGACGCCCCGTGGACGCCTCGTGGGCGCCTCGCGTCGGGCGGGGGGCGTGCCGAGGGTCGCGCCGGGTGCCCGCCCCGTGGGCACCTCGGGCGCTGGAGGGGCGCGCCGAGGTCTGCGCCGGTTGGCCGCCCCGTGGCCTCCCCGTGCGCGGGGTCGGCGTGCCGCGGCGTCGCTCGGTGCCAGCCCGTGGGCGCTCCTGGGGCCTGTCGTGGGCGCCTCGCGTGCACGCCGAGGCTTCGCCGGGCGCCCGCCCGTGGCGTGTCTCGCGGGCGCCTCGCCGCTCGTCGGCCGCAGGGGCTGCAGCTGCACAGCTCTGGCGACAACGGCCTGCACAGCACCACAGCACACAGCTTGCATCCCAGAGCTTGCACCACACAGCTTGCACCACGTATGCTACACCGCGCGAAGTGCACCACATAGCTAACACCACATGACCTATATTTCATGGCTTGCACCATCTATCTGGCACCGCATAGCTTACACCGCACATCTTGTACAGCATAGCTCACATCACGCAGCATGCACCAAGCTTACACATGCACAGTGCGATAGCTTACTGGTTTGGGCCCACCCTGCCAGACATTGTGGCTTCAAGCTGTCTAGTTACTTGTTGTTCGATTGCGGGTGTGTTTGACTAGGACGATCACGGGACGGAAGAGGAGAAGAAAGAGGTCGTCCATCGTCGGTTTATGAAGGTTGCGGTGAGGTTCGAATAGTTTCGGATGCTTTCGGATGGACCCAAAGGTCTTCACAGGCTGCCAGAAAAAAAAGGGAAGGAGGACGAGGAGGAGGAGGAGGAGGAGGAGGAGGAGGAGGAGGAGGAGGTCGAGTCCGAAAACGGCCCCTGGAGGGCGAACATGTCGAACACAAGCCTGCCTCGATTGTTTCCGAAACCCTGAGCAGGAGAAGAGGAGGAGGAGGAGGAGGAGGAGGAGGAGGAGGAGGAGAGGGAGGAGGCCGGAAGAGGGGGGAGGAAGATGGGGAGGTGAGACGGGGACGGGAATAAGGACGCAGAAGGTTCAATGTAGGGACTATCCTGGTCCGATGGATTTGGTCCGATATCGTTTCCGGCCAGCTCGATCCGATTCGATTCGATTCCGACGATCCGATACGGCCCTGTGCCTGCATGGCGCTGTTGTGCATCCCGGCGCGAGTGATCCGATTCGAATCCGACTCCGTGCCGATGCTGTCCGATCCGGCGCACGTCTTGATCCGGCCTGATTTTCATATTCGCTGCGGACTCAGGCCAGCCACATTTGGGGGAGCTGTGGTCCTCACCCCCCTGGGGGACTCATCGATTTCGACACCCCTCTCGAGGGATCGTCGATGCGATGGGTTCCCCCAGGGGGGTAAGGACCACAGCTCCCCCAATTATGGCTGGTCGGTGACTCATCCTGGCTGGAAGAGGAGGCGGGGCTGTGAACGCCACCGAGGCAAAAGGTGTCGAAGAGGCCAGCACGGAGGCAGACGAAGACGGGGACCAGAGAGAGACGGCCACGAAGGACGGGGTGGCGACGGCGTCAACGTCGTCGTCCTTGTTTCGACGGTTGTGGGACGTTTTTGGAGGCTCTCGTCGCCACGGCTTCGCGCAGCTCGGAAACTTGACCAGGATTGACCTTCTGAGGGATCCTGGCAGCAGTTTTGGGGCCGACTTGCACGCAGCCGAGGACATCGAGGCGGAGGCTGCCGGAGGAATCGACACGGAGGCGGCCGAGGAGGTAGAATCAGGGAACGTCTCCGAGGCAGAGGCTGATGAGGACATCGAGACAGAGGCTGCCGAAGATGCTGCCAGACATGAAAAGGCAGAGACGAAAGCGGAGGCAGAGGCTAAGGCAGATGTAGACACTGACGTTGATGAAGCGGCTACCACTGCGGAAGCCACGGAGAATGCCAAAGCAAGCACCACAGATACGGAGGCAAAGGACGTGGATGCCACTCGGGCGGAGGATGAGGAAGATAATGAGACGCTGGCAGAGGTGGTAGAGGACGCCACCGAGGCAAAGGCCAACAAACTCACTGAGCAGGAGGTTGTCGAAAAG